ATATATTATAAAATTCAATGTTCTAGTAGAATATAAAAATACAATAAATAAAAGTTAATATAATTTTAAAACATTGTATATATTATATTACATTAGAAATCTGTTTATGTAACTTCTAGGCAAAAATAAAGTCATATTTAACGATGAGACCAATTTATATAATCGCGCCGATCGTATCGCGGAAACAGTGGCCAAGAAAAATAAAGAAGGAAGTCGATATTACGAAAATTTACACTCAAATCATCTCGTTGTTCGCCAAGAGTTGGGCACTACGATATTTTCCGCTCAAGAAATCCTCCGCGCGAAAGAATTACAGCTCCGATTTTTACTTTTCGTTCGTGTTTCGAACAACTTAATGGGAAATCCGATGACACTTGTTTGTACACCATCGCAAAACAACGTGGTCAATTTGTCGCTCGTGAATGAAGAGCTTGTTTTTTGGCCTTTTAGATCTTGATGAGGCCGTCAAATGATATATCTCCTATGATGTCGCAATGATTTATTACATACATATTATAATAGTAGCAACATGAGTTGAAAGATGAACAAATAGCCATTGTGCTAACGGATATTAAGTATTTCGTGTCGCGCAACATCGCTTTGACAAATGGAACATAAATTTCTTCCGGTAGTTTTGTCTTTTGTCGCGAGCAAGCTGATTAAACTGGTCGTGGGGTGGTAGATAATAATATAAACATTTCCGCTTTTGTTGTTAACGTAACAACTCATCTCATCGTTTCTCTAAATGTAAGCGCAAGCTTTATCTTGTAAATAATGGCTTTTATATCTCTGCGGAAGATGCATAATATAAATTTAATAATAATATTTTGTTTTCTAAAAAGATAGATATATAAATACAGAACTTTATTTTAGTATAATTAAATTAAAAGTAAAAGTAATTAAATTGCAATATGTATTTGTTAAATAGCCAATTTATTCCAACTCTGTATATCAAATTGTGCATCTTTAAATAGATCTCGCTACAGATTCAAGAAATTTTTGAAAAAAGAATACGGTGTAAGCATTATTCTTATTAACATTAATGTTAGTGTAATAAAAGAGTGTTTCTTGAAATTTCCATATAAATTAATACAAAATTCAAATTTACATACAAATTTGTATGTAAACAACTACTATTATATAAGCAAATTAAGCGACGTTTGAAAATTGAGTATATTACATTGTGGGATGTAGAAAATACATTCCGCAGTGCTATTAAATTTAGTTAATTTAGTGGTTTGGTTGACTGACGTGTCATTCTATTTTGAACATCAGAAACTAGCGGAGTGCGCGTAGGTTGGCTTACCTAATTAATTAGGAATATGCCGACCTTTCTATTTCATATTCTTGAATGGGTCTCGAAGAAACATTTATTTCTAGGTGACTGGCCGTTTGCTTTGATTATCCGCTTGTACTAAATCTTAGCGCGCCATGTGATACATCTCGTACATTTCCGGAGCGCATTAACACACACGCCTTTGTGTCGTTCGACGTCATAATAAAAATAAAAAGAAATCCGAAGAGATTAGCGCTATTCGCATTTTTACAGCGTTAAAGCTCGAGAAAAAATTAAAAGTGGAATCGCGTAAGGCAACTCTCCTTAAATGACATATTTGTTGCGCATTTCAAAACTTTTGAATTGTACAATTTTTCAAAATAAAATGTACGTCTGCGTAGTTAAATATTAAATGTGTGCAAATGAATTAGCTTTATCAAGAAGAGAGAGAGCAGATTGCAACAGACATTAATATGTCTATAGTTTACATTTTACATCAATTTTGTATTGAATTACTGTTTTTTCAATATTCGTCAAAAGTCAAACGAGTCGATTGGTTTCTCGGCACTCAATTGCATCCCGTGTAAACAATCGAGCGTTGTGAAACAAACATTGTTGGTCCTGGGTTGACGATTAATTTCAATATGAACGTGTTCCGAATATTCGTTATGCCTTTGTGTAGCACTTTGATATATATACCCAACAGTAATCACGACAGAAGCAACTTCGAGAAGCTCTGGAATGTAAATCGAAAACTGTTCGGGTTTTCCAACACGAACTGAAACAGGGGTGTTCGTTACATGCTTCACTACCCCCTCAGTTAGTGAAGCGCATAACGAGCAAAGGATTGCTATTCTCTCGGGACCAAAAATAATTTCCTGATGCGGTTTACATCAGATTGTTCTTCCTCTTTCCTCTATCAATCTCAAGGATGAAAATTGTGAGCGATTGTTTGTGCATCATCATGAAAATGGAATTATTATTATTTGTCATTCGCTGCTGATATGACTTTGATAATTTATGAAAACACTCGACATACAATCGGAAACATACATTTTATTACTATCTTTCTCTTATGTCGGCCTAGGATAAAAGTGCGATTATTTGCTCATCCAAATAAAATTATTTGCCGTTTGTTGCTGATATGACTTTGATAAATTATAATTTATGAGAACACTTGACATAACCGGAAATATACAATGATTAATATTGATTATATATATATATATTGTAATTAGTAATATATTAATTGGAACAACGTGATACTTTTATCCATTCTATGATTTTAATACTAGAAAAATCATAGATTGATGAAATAAATCACCGAAAATCTAATAAAAAATATTTTCATTCTATTTAGTACACAACAGTTTCACTTATTATTATGTTTTTATTAACGTTGCGATAATAATAAATTACATATTTAAAGATACAAAAATAATATAATTAACAATGCACATGATTTGTTTTTGTGATACTTGTCGTGGCGATAAAAAATACATTTAAAATTAAACAAAGACGTGTTCGTCGAAATTTATTTGTAATTAATGCAAAAATTTAGTACAGATATACAGGGTGAATCACTTAAGAATAACATTCACAGTTTTGGAGATAGACAAAAATGTTTCAGATGAAAATGAAACGATTTTAAGGGGGATATTTTGGTCATGTTTTCTTTCTTTTAGGTGGAAACGTTAAAAAGATATGAAAGTCATTTTTTTAAACGAAATTGTATAATTTGTTTATACAATATGATTCCTCTAATTATTATTATTCTGCATATAAAAGTAAAGGTAGAGATATAAAAAAAAAACCAATAGTTAACGAGATATTTTATACTTTATTCTAGCATATATTGACATAAAATATTAAATGATTTGTAAACTATTAATTTTTTAATAATCGTATCTTAATACTTTTGTGAGTATATAAAATAAGATAAATGTATTTTCTTTTCATTAATTGCTTCATTTCATTATTCTATTCATAAAAGTATTAAGGTACGATTATTAAAAAATTGATAGTTTATGAGTCATTTAACGAGTCATTTTATGTCAATATATGTCAAAATAAAGTATAACATGTCTCGTAAACTATTGGTTTTGTAATATCTCCTTAATATTTTCATATGCAGAATAATTAGAAGAATATCATATTATAAAAAAAATTATAATTCCATTAAAATTACAATTCCATTTAAAAAAAAACAGAGGTGACCTTTCATATCTTTTTGACG